TCAAATAAGTACAATTTAGCAATAATATCATTTTTCTATTTGTCTTCAACTATATATATTTTGTAATCTTTATTAACTAAAAAGGTTTCTAATTAGCTTACAGAGGGCAAGAAAAGGGAGAAGAGAGGTACTTGAAAGTACATTGGTTATACATTTGTATTTGATTTAAATTAAGTATTTTGTGATAAGTTTATAGCACTTGATATATTGTATATAATGATCTTTGTTTACATGGCAAATATCACGTGATAAGGCATCAAATGCTAAGTCTTGTCAAATGTATGTAATTTAATTTGATTAGTGGTTTTTCATCTATTGAAATTTTTCTATTAATTGACTATATTAATATCAACTAGGATTTTATAACTTAGGTGGAGAAAAATCCTTGACTTGACATTCTTATCAAGTCAAATCTTATAAGTAATTTTGAAGAAGACAGAACTTATTATAAGGATTTGCTTGGCTATAGTAATTTAGCTATTTTAGTAAAGCTTTAGATTTTTTTTTATTCTTCACATTTGCACTCTTAGATTTATTTTTGTGTGGTGAGAGAGATTACTTAACTTAGTTGTATATAAATTTATAATCTTTCACTTGAAAGTGTATTGATTGTATATTTGAATTTGATTTAAATTACATACTTTATGATTAATTTGTAATACTTGATGTATAGTGAAAAACAATCTTTGTTTACATGACATATCACTTTCATCAAAACTAAAGCTCTTGGATACATTGACAATTTGAATATTGTTGCTCCATTACTTCTAAAAGAATTTATAACAAAATTTCTAGAATTGAGCCATAAATTGAAGAAATAAATATTACAAAATATTTTTTAAAATCAAGATTAAAGAAGCTACAATCTATCATGACGTGTGAAGCAAAATAAAATTGATGAAGAAAAGTACATAATTTAGCAATTGATTGACAATAATTAAACAATTATTTTTTTGCTACCATTGCTTTTACAGCTTGTGTGTTGTTGCTTCAAAAATACTTGCAAGGGCCTTCTTTAAGGACACATTCAATCCATCCTTTCAAGTCCAATGCCAATATAAGAGAGTCTCAGGCAATTTTAACAGCACTGTTGTCTGCACTCTTAGGTAGTGGCTTAAGCAAAGGAGATGCTCAAGCACAAAGAACACACTGCCTTTTGTATTCATGGAGGATGATGATAGGGTGTGGGAACAGAGTGACATTAGACCAAATTAACTATCCTGTAGTTTGGAGGGTGTAGCTTTAACAAGTTCCTATATATATATATATATATATAATTAGCAAACATGTCTGATAAACATAATTAAATACATATGTCACATTATATTGTACATAAATATACACACATACAAATATCAAAATATGTTAATAGAACAAGTTAACTTTTCAGCATATAAACTTGCAATTAAAATATAGTTATAAAATCTTCAATATTAAGTAATTGTTTTCATATTATTTTAGTATTTTTTAATAAATCATTACATTTCTATACTAAATTTTAATAAAAAACTTTCATTTTGTAAATTTTAGTTATACACATAAAATACTTAGCAGAAAATACATTAGATTGTTTATATATACATATACACATATGTATTTTATTGATTTTTTTATATCATAAAAAGACATGCTATGTTTGGTTTGTACTACTTAGTAAATTTATGTCATATTGATATTACTTTTATTCAGGAATAAAAAGCAATAAAATTATTGGTCAATTGAATCAATTACCTAGTTCATTAATATTACAAGTTTAATGACGTAAAGTAGTACTTCAACTTTTAAAATATAATTTATATATAATAATGAAGAATCAAATTGACAAAAAAAACAGAGACCAAACTTTCTAAATATCAGTGTAAAGTTTAAAGCCCTTGTAAGAACTATTCTACATATATATAACAATATAAAGTGACCATTATACAATTAATAATATTTTAATGCTTAGCTTTATCTGGTACGTCTGAAGCAAGTTGTGAATATTTACAGGCACCATAAAATTTTATCCATTTAATTATTTTAACTAAGTTAACTGTATTTTTTTAACAATAAAATAAGACTATTTTGGATTGGTTCTAAACATTCAAACTACAAACTTGAAATTAATACAGAAATATTCCATAAATAAACTATATTAAATTTTAAAATGCCAAAAATAAAATTCAATTATTTTTACTATAGTGATACATTTGAGAGAATATAAAAAGATAATATGAAATATTTTCAAAAATAATTTTAAAAACAGTACAAAAGAAGCTTTAAAAAATTGAGAAGATTTTAAATAAATATCATTATGGTTGCATATTCATAGCTTAAATGTTAAGAGACATATCTTAATAATAATAATTATTATTTTAAAGATTAAGAAATAAATTTATTAAACAATTGCATAGAAAAAAAACTTCCATCATGAACCAACTTGGCACTTTATTATTTTACTACTTTTTTTTGGCAATTTTGGTTGCATTAGGTTAGATTGTTTACAGAAAGGACACATTGATAGTTTTAGGCCTGCTTGTATTGTTTAGACTTTTCATTTGAATGTACACAAGTAACAAACTTTTATCTTTACCAATGTGTAATATAGGATTTTTTTTTTTTCAACAATTTTATTTGACAATAGGTAAACTTGACTATCTTAGGCTGAGTTGCTTATTGAAAAAAATTAATTGAATTTTTTTGGAAAACTCATCATTGCATGCACTTTTCACTTGGATGTACATCCACATTAAAATTTTATCTTCTATTATATCTAGTGTGAGGGGGAATTCTTGATTGTCTAGTACTGAATGCCTTATTTTATATTTTATTTGTTATGCAAAATAGAATGAATAGAATAATGACATGTTGTAGCATTATACTACATATAGATAAATGGTCAGAATAAAAGGCAACTCTAACTCTCTCATCTACATATATACATACAAAAAAGATAGCTAGATGCTACTCTCACGCAAATATAAATGGACACAAAAAAAAAAAAAAAAAAAAAAAAAAAAAATCCATGAACCACAATGTAAATGTTAGGCATCTACAATGACCATATCATATTTCGTAGAATGACAATAAGCACACAAGGCATTTAGTTGAATGGAAAGTGTTCAGCTCACATACTATTTGTTGGGACATTGTACAAGAACATGACGTGCCATTAATTGATTGATAAGGAAAATATAAAATTTGAATAAAGTATAAAATTATGAAAAATATAAAATTTGAATAAAGTCACAACAATGATGAAACAACAGCATTCTAATCATTGATAGAGCTAAGCAAGAGAAATTTACTTGCATTGCTAATGTGGTTGCTCTACTATGAATCAAAGGTGATATGCATAGATTTTGTGGGATAAGATTTAATTAGGTTTAATAATAAAACCAATTAATTAAAATTTATGGATAAATTGGTTTAAGAAGCATACATAAGTTGTGGGTTGTGCATGACATAATTTTTTATTTTTTATTAATTATTATAATGGATGTTCAAGATTCTAACAATCTTGCACTAAGATTGTGCTGTAATGACAATAAGCTTAACAATCTTATAATGCCACATCAATTACAAGCTTAACAAGTTTGCAATAATATAGTAGTGCTAGTTTAAATCCAATCATTAGATTTTGGTTTTCTTGGATTAGGTTTTAAGGTGGTAATGACATTATGAAATAACAATAGATTTGGTAGTAAGAATCTGCAATCAAGGGTGGCAAGCAAGGGTAGCACAAGTGACTAAAAAATAGCATTGGTGCAATTTCTAAAATAGACACATTTCAAAGAAGGTGACAAATTTTTTGTTATCAAATTAGGTAAGAAAAAGTGCACTTGTCTATCCACTAGCTTGTAGACAAATTTTACAAGAATTGCAAATCTATATGTGTTGAATTTTATTAGTTGCAAACACTACAAAGAAACCATTGCAATTTACAAGAAGAACAAGTACACAATGACTCATCTTGTCAATAAGTGTAGATATTATAATATTTTGATAAAAACAACTCAAGAAATGTCCATGCTATAGAAGCCTTACAACCTTTGATGGAAATCATTACAAAAACAAATGGAAAGTGTTCTTAATTCTACATCTATTTTGTGTAGTCTTGAATGTGAACAAGACTTTGTAATCAATAATGCAACATAAAATGGATTAAGATCAAAATTAAATTTTTTGACAAGGGTTTTGAAGCGCATCTTATTAAGAGCCTCAAAATCCTTTAATCAATTGACAAAATCATCATCAAATATCAATGGGATTCTTGTTTTGTTTCCAAAATCCTTCTTGATTTCTACTAGTTGCCGAGAGATTTTAATAAGTTCTTCAAGGAAGGAATTGTGATCATAAACATATTGCTTCATTTAGTGGATGTAATTTGTCAAAGGTTTGAATTTATGTACAATAAGGCTTATGTCTTACTATATTTATTGGAATACAAATTTATTAGAAAAGGTTTTTTTGAAAAGAATCAAAATCGTCTTTTTTGAAGATGTTCTTATTAAAATCAATGTTGATGATACTACTCTTGTAGATAATACTTAGCAAGAGAATTCTATATGTAATTCACAAATTATGTCATCTCAATTTAATGATTTAAGCTTGAGAATTTTTTCTAGTTTGGATTCATAATTGATAAACAGAAGACCCTGCTGTCATATTGGCAGGCCAATGGAGTTGCATGGCTGCTCTTGCAACATATCTTATTTAAGTTGTTTATGATGACTACATCTAATGCTGCCTCCAAAAGAAATTTAGTGACATTTGGCTTTATCTACTCAAAGTTAAGAATTTTGCTTAGTGCCAAAAAAGAGTAGAAGGTTTATTTAGGTTTTTATTAAACCTAAATTTGATATTAAAAAATAAACAGGTTTAATCAACCCCTGCCTGCAAGGAAGGTGCGCCTTCGTTGGTGGTGGAGCCAGCCCAGCACGATAAAGAGGGAAGATGATCCAGTGCCCTCCCGACAAGATATCCGGGTACGGAATCTTCTTCTTCTAGGGTATAGGGAGATGTCCGGGTATGGATCGGTGGGTCAGGAGTGGGGTCAGTCGGGAGGGAGGAGAGGGGGCGAGGGAGGGGCAGGGAAGGGTAGATAGATAGATGGGCAGCCCCGCCACTAGGAGAGGGGGGGGGAGACGTCGCGGTCGGCAAGGCGGCCACGGCGCTTGGAACTAACTCAGTGGGCACAGCGGAGCTGCTTGTCGTGCTTGCTGGATGCATGCAGCAGCCCTGCTCCCCCCCCCGGTGCTTCTCCGCGATGTCTTTCTCCTCGCCTGCCTGCCTGCCTGCATTCCTGCTTGCCTGCCTTCTCTATTTGCCCGATCGCAGGCTATTTTTCTCGCCTTCAGAGTGTGCCGGCTTTCGTCTGAATAATTCTGGTCAATTCTTTGTTGTTTTTTCCGCTTTGAATTTTCCAATCTGCTTCACACTCAGCTGAAGACGGTCGACTCCACAGGTATGTCGGTTTCTCACTGTAATTGAAATTATTTCTCGGATACTTTTCTGAAACGGAGGTGTTTAGTTCAGCTTTGCTTTCCATTTTCGTGCTTTTCAATCATTGTGAAAATTTGGAGACGTTACTGTGGAAACCAGTCGCTTCGAGTTTTTCGCCTTTCCGTGTGGTGGAGCTCCGTGAAGATCATACCACAGAATTCACTGTACTGTATCGATAGAGAGCAGGAACTGAGGGGATCTTGAAATTTTTGGACACTTTTCAGAAACTTATGGCTTTGTATCTTTTCAGTTATCAATCATGGCTAGGGCGTAGCTTAAGGTTAGCTGAAGCCATTATGTATCACGCCATTTTAGTCATTTTTTTAAAACATGGATTGGGAAGTTTTCGTCATGGCCGATAGATGGGATTAGTGAATGAATTGGTTTTTGACAACTTTAGAGCTGATTGTTTGTATCGTTTTGTTGCGCATTTAACCCTTATTTCTATCTCAGAGCTGAATTTTTTTTAGTTCAGTGCTCACGATTAACTAACTTGCTGTCTCGACTGCCCCTAAAGCACAATGGTGGAATTGAAACATCCATGTAATTTTCTCCTCTGTCAATTTTGCTAGGTATTGAATAAGAAGTTTGGTAGCCTCAGTGCTCTATTTGGAAGGAGCTCGATAACTGCGAATGGTAGGCTGGGACCAGTAGATCTCGAACAGCTTCAGAGTGGAAGTCACGGTCAGGGTGAGGCCTATCTGTTCCATGTCGCTCCGATCCTGCAATGGTCGTTTTACCAGGTTCACATGTTACTTTTTCAATCGTATCGACGAGGTGATATGGATCGAGCCCAAGGTCATCTTGATTTGGTCTTCAGAGAAACTTCAGGCGTGGAAGTGCCAGAAATTGCCTTTAGATAGGACATTGTCATCGTCCTGTGATTTAGATTCTACTTCACAGTCCAAGGAAGGTTTTTTGCACTTCTCTTTCCCTGCAGAATATGAAGATGGGATGTGTAGAAGGACGAAATTTACCTCGAATTTATTTCATTCTAAATGGAGGAACAGATTATTCGGTGGGTCTGGAACAAATGATGGAAGATCAATTTCGAATGTCGCTATTGCTAGGAAGAGCATACCCTTAAATGAACCAATTCTTGCCTCTTCACTTTTGGCAAACCCACTTGCGAAGACTGCAATGCGTGGATTGAATATTACTAAAGTCCAACCGAAGAGTTCAGCAGAGCGAGTACAATTTTGGAGTGATGGAAAGCGTACTCACATGAGCCATGCCCATGATCATAACCAAGTCGGCCATGAGTCCCAGGAGAAGGTCTTGCGGTGGGGTCTTTGGACGGATATGACATTGACCGTTGGCAAAGGTGCAGCAGGTTATGTATCTGGCAGCACCGCCATTATTGCAGACGCTGCACATTCTGCATCAGACATTGTACGTTATATATAATCTGCATGCAGATTTCATTTATGTTTTTGTATCTGTGGGTTGCGTGTATTCCGCATTTGTTCCTGCATTTTTCAACGAAGGAACGTGTCTTTCAAGGTGTGAAATAATTGATGGAACAGTAGTTTTCTATTCTCATTTTTTGGATTTGCAATACATAGTTGACGTCCTTGGTGTTTAAGGTCTACGCATTGGTAGTTTGGAAACCTGGGGCAATGTTATATTGTTTGAAACCATGGCTTCAAGGAAACTAGGGTGTCTCAGGGTTACTGTCGCATACAAGTGGACTCTGCTGCATCGTTCTACGCGAAACAGCGTTCAAAAGTCAGTCATGAGTTATAACTTGTATGTTCTGGCCTAGGTTCTGAGTGGAGTCGCGTTGTGGACGTCAAAAGCATCGAATGCTCCCCCAGATAAGGGGCATCCATACGGTAATGATTCTAAATTTGATTGAGTGCTTTGGAAACTTCTGTAACGGACTGCAATTGTACATTGTGCGGAGTTCACGTTCCTTTGAACGTAGTATATGTGTATCTGATTGATTACTGGGTGATGCTTTTCTGCACAAGGCAGTGAATGTTTGGTTACAACGTGCAGATTGTGTCCTATGTATTGATTCCACGATTTATTCTTGATATAGGCTATGGAAAGATTGAGACCATGGGCGCGCTGAGCATATCAACCCTGCTTTTGTTAACCGGTGGTGGGATTGCATGGAATGCAGTTGATACTTTGCAGGTATGGGCATGACATCTCTCGAGACCTTCCATCAAATTATCATGAAGTCCAGATTAATCACTTCACTCATCTCTGTTTTAAAACTAGCTTACTCATGCATTTCAGACATTAGGCACAAGGTGTTAGACATAAAAAAGAAAATATTCACCATGAGTTTATTCGTCCTAAAAACTCACAGTTTGGCTCTCTTGTGTTTTTTTCTCTTTTTCCAAAGGTTATGTTACCGGAAATGCTGGCTGTTCAAGACACAGTTCAAACAACAATAGACACTGTCGCGCAGCCAGGAGTTCACAGCCATGGCCACGATCATGACCACGGAGCTGTGGGACATAAACATGGCCTCGACATGGAACACATGGGAGTTGCACTATCTGCTGCAATTGTTTCTATTGGAGCTAAAGAAGGGTATGGTTCTCTTTCTTTCTATCTATCTATCTATCTATCTATCTATCTATATATAGATCTACACATACACATACACTCACACCTGTGCAGTCAGGATTCTATTTTGTTCAATAGCTCTTCTGATGCAGAATGCCTAGATTGCAGTTCACCTGATAGATGAATTCCGGATTTTTTAACTTCAGAATGCATGATTTATTTATAGTATTTTAAATTCAATGTTTTTTTATTTTTTTATTTTTTTTGTATTTTATTAGGGCACTCTGAGCGGAGTATGTAGATTGTTGTACATTATGATAGCATCCTGGGGTTTTACATAATCTGATATGATTTTGATGAATATTTATACGTCTTAATCTTCGTTTGTTTTGTTTTCGTGCGCATTCCGTTTCGCCACATAAAAACATGATTTATTTTATTTGTAACAATGATGTTAATTTTCAATGTTCAATTTCCGATTAATGCTCTATATTTGATGAATGTGGTACAGCTTATATTGGGTAACTAAAGCGGCTGGTAAAAAGGCTGAAAGTGCTTTGCTGACGGCAAGCGCGTGGCATCACCGCAGTGATGCTATATCTTCTATTGTTGCTCTTATTGGTGTTGGTAAGTCATCACATTTAGCGGATTGTTCAGTTTTGCCGTAAAGAATATAGCAATCGCAAGTGATTATCTTCAGCGATGATTCAATCTCATTCTTTGTTCTATTAAACGGGATACATCTCTGGAGTGTGACGTTTTAATGAGATTCTTTGCTTTCGCTAATACTTGTTTAAGTGCAACTTCTAATTAGGTGGAGCAATGATCGGTATACCACTGTTGGATCCAGTAGCAGCACTGCTCGTATCTGGAATGATTGTCAAAGCAGGCCTGCAAACCGGTTATCAAAGGTAAGCTATTTCTTCCAAGGGTTTGTAAGATCCCAACCTCGTATCTCCGCCGACTTGTTGCAAGGCATTGATCTCTTATCTAGTATTTGTAGATAAGAGGCTTTTCTTATCATTCAACTCATGTTGCATTCGACAAAATTTAGCATGCAGGAGCTGCTGGACACGGGTGTACCTGAGTCAGTGCTCTCACCTATTCGCACATCTGTTTTACGGGTCGAAGGTGTAGAGGTATTAATTGGCATGCTGAATTCATTCATTTCAATGCAAATCAATGTCTTCGAGATTTACGTGAATGTTTGCAACCTATATTGGTATGTTGAAGTTTTGTATTCGGGGCATAATAACTCAACCATCAGTTTACATCTCACAAGTGTCGGTCTTCTATTATACTTTTTTTTTTTTTTTTTTTTTTTTTTTTTTGTTGGGTTTTTTTTTTTTTTTCGTTTAACACTTTAAAAGTTTTTATGAAGCCTTCGATTGAGCTGATGCTTTGTGAAGGCTTCGACAACAGTAAGTGAGGGATTCCCTGTAAAGAACCTTGTGGTCAAAAGTCACTTTTGTACACCTTCACTGGTGGTTGAGCTATGCCTTATCGGAGTAAATTGTAAATCAGTGTTATGGGCAGCTTGATGTTTCTAATACCTGTTGAATGCATTCACCATGATGACTATTCACGCATACTGGCGAATAATATCTCTAGGTTCTTTTGAAATGTTCTAGCGGTCTGTTTAGTTTCACCTTCATGCACTTGCAGGGTGTTCATCAGCTGAGGGGCCGGCGAATGGGTTCCAGTGTTCATGTGGATGTTCACATAGAGGTATGGTATTCTTCATAAATGACCTAAGTACGGCCATTTTTAACAAAGTCTTTCGCCCTCTACGGTTATGTCCATTATAGGTCTGATGCTTGGTTAGTTTACATTTCAGTTGTCGCATGAACGTCTATTAGATGAAATTCATGTGCACAGTGTTCGAATATGCTGTAAATGTTGCATGATGTAGTTACAGTTTAATGGAACTTGCGGTTATTTGGCAGGTGGATCCATTTCTTAGTTTAAGTGCAGCCCATAATATTGGAGAAGCGGTAAGGCAGCATGTGCGAACGCATCATCCAAATGTTACCGAAAGTTTTGTCCATATAGGTTGATGTTTCACATTTCTCAATTGAAGATGTTTCGTGTTTGAATTGTTCAGTTTCATTAGTGGTGATGCATGCTGAAGTCTTAGAGTATATATTGTGAACAGAATCAGTGAAGCTTTTATAGAAAATTTACCAGTACTATATTCGTTGGTATATTCTAGTGTTGGATCTTGCTTTCTTGGTGGAAAGTGTTTAAGCCGCTCTAATTATGCCTTCAGCTTTTGTGCATTCTCAGATCCAGCGGATGGGCGACCAACATCGTTAACCCCTGATGAGATGAAGATTGATAAGCATTCCTACTGGCATCACCATGATGACCATTCACAGACAGACCAGCATACTCATGATCACCACGACGATCCGGACCATCACAAGAATGCTGCTGGAGAAGTTAGCGGAGGCCCAAATCCTGAGCTCTTGGCAGTGGATGGGACGGACACGGATGGACATAGAGTACCTCACAATAATTCTACTTTACAGCAATCGGAAGTAGAACACATTGTGCGAGACGTAATTCACGCCAATTTCCGTGAGGCAAGTCTTCCTGAACTCTGCAACCATTTCTGATGTTGGTGTGCATATTCTTCTAGGATTCAAGAGAATTTTGAGTGGTTGGTCTAAAAATGCAAGTGGTCTTGTACTTAGAGTACAGATTGGCTAAATTTGATGTGGTTCAGAAAAGCTGTTTGCTTTGAAAATTGGCAGGCAGTGGAGGTGGAGGGTGTTACATGTCATTTTTTGCACGACAAAGTGGTTGCGGAGGTCGAAATCTCCTTTAACTCCAACCTCTCTATCAGGTACTGTTAGGGGAGTGATTGATTTCGGCTCATGAATTACTTGTCATCATCCAAATCATTCCTGTGCACTTAAAAACAAATTTTCACTTCATCGTTTCTGATATCTTGTAGAGATGCAAAGAAGCATGGAAGTAACATTGAGACTTGTCTGCTCCGCAATGTAGGAGACCTGTCAGCGGTACACGTAAAACTAAATCTGAGCACTAGGTAGGAATTACAATTCATTTCTTCAGGAGCAGAGGTCTCCTGATATTGACAATTCAACACAAAATGAGCTGTACGCATCCTTTGAAGCTATTTCGAACCTGGAAATGGGCTCCATAGGGGATTTCCACCCAACAAGACTTTCCAGCTACTTGTGTTTCAGAACTATTTTGCCAGATAATTTGCGAGGTGGATGTGCTGGTGAATGTAATTGGCTACTGATATCTACACGCAAATGTGTAATACTTGACACATGAGTGCCGCGTTCATTTGGTCGTCAGTGGAAATAGTTCGGATCAGATCATTTATATGTTCAGGTTTAATATCTCAGTAATATACAGCATAATTTTGTACGATCCTGGGAAGAATTGTTTGTTAAATTTCATTGCAACTTTAATCAGTTAATAGAATTATTGACCACTATGTATATGAATATTCTAACATAAATCCAACATGCATGTAACTTAATTCACACAATTGAGGGGCTTTTCCTCTCAATTCTATTAGTTTTTGCCTATGTTCAAGAAAGAAAGGTCTGTTGATCATGGAAGTCAAATATTTTAGTTGAAACCATTTCTTTTTATGCACACAAAGTGGATATACACTTCCACAATCCGCTCAAATAAATATAAATATATGTATTTATATTCACATATATACCAGTACTGGGCCCTTGTTTTGCTTTGAGAATAATATGTAACGTTAAGTGATTTAGGTGTAATAAAGAGAAACATGATGTAGATGGACATTATGAATGAATGCTTCTTAATATATATCTCTTACTTTAATTAAGAGGATATTTTGTTTTAAAATACGAAATTTAAATTGAGGTACGAAATGCAATTTTAGCATTCAAATCTTTCTTCTTCTTATTATTATTTTTTTGTGTAACCATAATTTCCATCGTTGGACAGTAAGGGAGTGTTTTATTTGGATTTAGCTCGTGATGAAACAATTGTTTATGGAAAAATCTCACTTTTGGCAAAGAATTGTTTGTCCTTGAGATTTATTGATAATTCTAGATAAGATAAGTTTTATAGGAAATTCTCTTTGTTGTAGTTTGAATAGAACCACTATATTTAAGGGTTCTAAGTTGATACAAGAGATAAAGACTTATTTTATAATTTTGGCTTCAATTTTAATTTTAGCAATAAATACCTAAAGTATAAAAGATATACATTAAGAAGTCTTCCATTACATAAACTAAATTTCAAATTTTATAATATTAATATAAGAAATCTAACTTTTAACCTTAATCTAAGTATATGTAATTTTTATCTCAAAATATATTAATAAAGATTTTTTTTTTTTTTTTTTTTTTTTTTTTTTGTTGCTACTGTTTTCATTTTTAAAAGTAGTAATTTCATAATGTGTAATGTACTATTTAAAATCAAATAAAGAAATATAAATAAAAGCTTGCTTCATTTTTACTAGAACATATTTTCATGCACACACATATTTATCTAGAATAAAGGAATTACATAGAAGTAAGTAAAGTTGATAATATCTTGTAGAGAAATTTCTTAGAAGCTTTATAGATGCAAATTTGACTTTTTATGTGTTCATAGGTGCTTGATAGGTTGAAAACTTGGCCAACAAGTTGGCACACATATAAGAAACTTGTCTTATAAGTCAGACATGTGTCTTACAAGTTGGACATGTATTGGAGGTCTTATAAATGTCGCCACATAACTTCTTGTTAGATAGTATATATGGAGGCAAAAATAAGGTCTTCCTCATTCTTGACAATACCTTTCTAGTTCTTAATTTTGTTTCAAGAGTTTTTAGTCTTCTTTTTTTTTTGGCAATAGGCATTCTAGTTTTAATATCATATTACTTTTGAGTAAATATCTGCTCTTTTCTAGTGACACAAGAGTATATTGAAGTTTTCATTGCTTGTGATTCATTTCCTTGATATATATGCCATATAGTTTGTAAATAGTTAGCTTCCTTGTACATATATTAAATAATGAACAATATTATTTAATCAAAATAAACCATAATTTTTTTTATTTTCTTTTATATGTAAAAAATGAGATTGAATTTTGAATAACACTTTAGTAATCTTTGATTAATGATTGAATGTTATAATGCACCCTTTTAGATGTAATTTTTGAATATTAACTTTGAACATACTAATGATAATTTTTTAAAAAAAAATTAAATAAATATAAAAAATAATAATTAAAAAAAACTAGTAAAATTATGTATGTATAAAAAAGACAATTAAAAGTGTTTCTTTTAAAAGCAATTAATATGTATATACAAAGAAAACAATCAATTATATGTATAATATAGATGTGAAAGAATTGATAAAGAAGTGATGTGAATTAGAAAACATAATGTATTAGTTTTTTTTAATGTAAGCCAAATTTTATTACTAGAAGTAATTTTAAGTTCTAATATTGTTATTCTACTTGTTTTTGAAAATACACAAGTTGTAATAATTTACTCCATGTTTACAAAACTCTCCTTCATAATAACACTTTTTCTTTTAGTAGTTAGAAGTAGAATGACAAACATTCTAAAAATTCAATTTGGTCAAATTTTGTCAAACATGATTATATAAAATAAAAATTAAGTAAGATTTTAATTTTTTTTTTAATATTTGAATTAAAAAATTGAAAAATATTTTAGTGTAGTTGGAATAAATTGTAGAAAATTTACCCAACAATTTGAACCAATATAAATAAAACAATTTGTTAAAATTATAAAATTCCACAAAGTGGTCTAATAATACATATATCTATAAAAAATCATTATCTATAAAAGACCATTACTTTACCATTAATTGACATTAGTACAAGGCAGTAGGACTTTGAATGCCTCAAATTATAATAGTAATCCAGTTATTGATCTGAGCATTGTGTATATCATGTTTGTGTCGAATAGAAAAATGAAGTTATTTATTGTTCCAAGGTGCATTTTGTCTAAACTTGTACACAAACGTCTAAGACGAGTATTTCTTGAAGCTCATTGTAAGTGCACTGTGGGCCTTAAATCAATACCATTTCGACGTGATTTCCTTGGAGACTGTAAGGTTGAAAACTGTTCTATTGTGTTTTGAAATTGATTTTTAAGGTATGCAGAAACTAATCATTACAGCAAAATCATTGCCTCAGTTTTTATTTAAAAAATTTAACATTACACACTGAATCACTCATAGTCAATGAACAAAATATTAATTGTTCAAGGGAGAAAAAATTTGACTACTTCTCCACCAAGAAGTCTTGAATCTGAACACCAGTGTGACGTGCCTCATCTTGCAAACTCAACAGAAGTCTATCTCCCACTTTCAGGCAAGTGACGGGGAGTGCTTTTGCGGTATTTCCATCTGGACAGATGCATACAAGTCAGTTCTAGAAGGTTTTTGTCATTTCCGGGATACTTGCTTCAGATCATGCGCCGTTTAACTCTCCTAGAACCTATTTAAAGAAGAGGGTTGTTTCATCATTTCTTACCTTGAGATGAACACAAACAGACAGTTTCTGCGTTTTGTAACAAGACACTATGTCTCTGACCACCCACTTCCACTTCCACAAGCAGCAGAGGTCTTGATTCAATTTTCACACGCCCAACCAAGACAGGCCGAGTGTTGCCCATTGCATCCACTACCATTACTTGACTGCCAGTGTGAAGCTCAGAAAGGTACGCCGTATAGCCACCAGCCATACCAACGTACGCATGAACCGGCCCCTGTTATGTATCATATAAAATAAAGCTTCATGACAACGTCTGAAAGAAAAAACTTTAAAGACACATGTACAAGATCCAAAAACAAGACACTAGCAATAACTATCTGAGATTGAGATTATTTACGTTGGAGAGAAAGTAGACTTACAGCATTCACTCGGAAAGGTCGAGAGGACACATAGTTGCTTTCTAAGCACTCCGAATGTACCAAGAAGAGAGCTCTCGCAAAGGAGCCAACCTGTGACGGGGGTAAAATTTAAGTGGAAATTCCAACATTTGAAAGTAAAAATAGGTACGTCGCCGCATATACAAGTCAAAATAATCTTTAAAATGCGTACACCTTTATTTTAATAAAAATAGAGGTTGCCATGCAGCAATAGAAACCTACCAATAACCCCTCTCCGGGATTCAGTAGATTACATAGATCGACACAAACACGATCTCCCATACCAACAGACTCCACCTGGGTGACTGTAGCCTCCACCAAAGAAATATTTGTTGTTGAACTCTTTTGATCTTTTAAATATGCCTAAAATGATTGCATGAATACAAGTCATATAGCATCGAAGATGAGAAAGACCAAGCGAATTACCAGCATACATTGATAGCACTAGGGAAAAATATGGGATAGAGAAACTATAATCGAATCCTTTCATGAAAGATCAGAACTCTTACCTTGAGAGCAAATACTTCAGTAATATCATCGGTGTGCAAGACAATTCCATCAGCGCCCTTCTCAAGAGCTTCTAGGTATAATTGAGCATCACTTGCTGTGCTTGCTATGGCGTAAAGTGCTGTGTTGCTGCCGAGAAAAGCTGCCACCATGTTCTCAGCCGGAAAGATCTGTTGACCATGACACTGCAGCACGAATGTCAGTCCCATATCTACGAACATTTCATGGGTGATCACTCAGAATTTCTGTGTCTCTATCGAGCTAGTTCCCGTAAATAAACAAATTCGGCTTTAAAAAAATTCTAATCATTTTTTTTTTGAAAATGATCATAACGACATGATCTATGCCGCAGATTAAAAGGACATCCCAGTAGACTTCACAAAACTGACAATAGAGTTCAGCAGCATCCAATATGAGGGAAAAGATGAGAAAGTGAGATGAGCTCCACCTGCCAATCCAGTGCGTCCATAACCACGATCTTAGCCTTGGCCATCAAGTCAGAAAGGATATCAAGTTCCTCGCTAGAACCAACTTGGCCTAAGATAGCCACTTGCTTGTTCTCCGAGTTTAAGAATTGGCAATCCTCCAGGTAGAGTGGGTTGATTTTCGCAAGGGCTGGAAGAAAAAATTCCAAGCTCGTAAAGTTGACTTAAGTTGAATATAAGTTTGCTTAAAACACATAGAAGTGAGCAGAAAAATTTGAACCAATATAATCAGCATCTTCAGAGTAAAGACAAAAGACGGCCAAAGATTCGTCCTTGTCACACTATGCAACGAAGTCCAAGTAGTGGGAGCGCAACATGCAGCTGATAGCAAAGTAGCAACCAGAACGATCGATTCCAGATCAGCTGCAATAGTCTAAGCCTACAGAAAGGATGAACGGCATAAAACACCCACATGTCCACTCATTGGCAAGGTCCATCGTCTCATTTGTGAAGATAAATGTTGACCAGCCGCCTTCAACAGAAGCTGTCATCACATCCTTGCTCGTGGTCCAAACCCAGACTGTCTTTGAAATTGTAACTGCTTGCCGCATAGCAGGCCGCACAGTTCCTGCAGATCGAATGCTTCCTCCAGACCATCCACTTCCAGCAGATACCCCACTTGCTGTAGACCGGGTACTTCCTAGAGATCGCCCACATCCCTCAGACCGTCCACAAACTGAGCTTGCATTACCTGAGGACGTTCTTGAGAGTGCACTGTTTCTGTTCATGCTGGAGCGTATTGGAAGTCCTGCGATACCAATAAGAAATGGCAAGATCAACACAATGAAGTTAAATAACCGTCTACCGTCTGGTCGTTGTCTTACGAGTGTAATAGAAATATATCCTATGATTCAAAGTAACGGAAGAACGTATCTACCAAATTCACATAGCCTTTGCTGGGCTCTCATGTCTTTTCTTACACCCTGATCCCACATGATCGACCACACGTTCATGTGTGGAGTTGAGAAAAGGGTAGAGCAAATTGCGTCACACTTAGCTATTCGAAGTCGAACGAACCTTTTCTTCGGTTAAACCTCGAAAATCTAAGACCGATAAGGGAGTTTAAAGAGAGGGCCTAGCTATGGCTCCTATGACTCCGAATTTCACTCATCGAGTCATACCGGGGCAATGGTCGACGCTGTCATTTCGTCCTTAACCCCTCACTTGAAGTGAATATGTAAACCCACATTGATCTAGAACGTACATTTCCAAGTTATGGACACTAAGCCGAGCTCAACAATGCTCCAGGTTTCTCTAAAGCATACAAGGTACTTGAGGAATGCCAGATCAAGTGCTCCTCAGTCTAAACCCACATGAGGATTGCAACCATTCCTACAAAATACTGTCACGGCTATCAAGGATGCAACTCAGCAACTGCGCAGGAAGACGGACAATTTACAAACTAAGATCAAGATGGAAGAGAGGCCAAGGATGCCTTGATAGAGTATCCAAGTCTATCTCAGACTTAGGTAGTAAACTAAAGCTGCTAGATTGGGGTGTTACGGACTGAAGGATTGAAGGTACAAGCGTAACGTAATTTCCTTCGTGTAGTTCAGCAATCAGGATTTACTAACTTGATAATGATTGCTTCTTACCATGTGAGAGTTGCGAACTTGAAAGTCCGCTACTCAACTTGAGACTTTCGTCAAACTGAGGAGCACTTGACCTGGCATTCCATTGAGGTCTTGGTATAGTATTTCTCGGGCCATCCACCTTGATATCCACTCTGGTGGACATAACTCCGGAACCCCCTGCATTGTTGTGATCGGAAGTTGTCAACTCTGACCCACACAGGGAAGCATCGCGTTCGGATATTGTCTCGTGGCTTATCGAAAATAGATCGTCGCATGACGATATGGTATCGAAAGTCATAGAAAAAGAGCTGATAGAGGTGCTGTTAGTTGAGGCCATGGAATTCCGCTTCGTCGTAGTCGGCAGTCCCATCCTCTCTTTGCTCTCCTTGAAATCCTGGTTGAATGTCGTGGACGACACGGATGATCCGCGCAAGGAATCATTGGTAGACAAATTTTTTGTGTACGAACTGGATTGCGAGGATATATAAAAACTGCTACATAGCGTGTTGAAAGGGGTGGGACCGCCGGCAGGAGGCTGGGGGGTCGGTTTGCTTACAGCGAAGGAACGAATACTCTCCGCCCCGCCAGATGCCCGGACGCGAGTCACGAAGCACGTCAGATTGTCGATGAAATATTTTCTATCCTTCTTCATTGTCCTACCAAACACAGAATCGTGCTTGAAATTCAGTTAACTATCACCACACAGAGCAAAAATCAGAAAAATCCTACGAAACATCTGAACGCCCTGCACAATAAACCGAAAACCACAAGGAAGAAACCTCATTCAAGAACACATCTAAACATTTCTATCATCCCTGGAACTGGAATCTGAAGACGTAATACTTCGTTTTTCTGTGAATGCTGGATCAGAGAAACTTTTAGAATGTTAAGGCTACACCTCACTGATGGGTAAAAAAAAACTCGGAAGCCTAAAATCATAATCTGACAAAAGAGCGAGGTTCAGGGCACATAGATCGTAGCACGGAGCGTCCAGGATTTCAGGTTCTCACTTGTCAACTACGACATGGTACGCCCCGGAATTTTTAGCTTCTTCTACAACAATAGTCTTAGGATTTTGCCCAACACACACCTCAATCGTTAACTGTACCTACAACCATGAACAACCTCACATTAATGAGTCCCATCTCGAAATTTATTAACGGAAACACATGCATCACTTCTGAAGGCACCTACCGTGTGCAGGAGAATACTTACCCCAGCCTTCTTGCACTTGTTATCAAGGTTATTAATGTTTTGAAGCATACACCGCTTGTTCTCAATCTCGGTTTCTAAGGTCTTTCTGCTGGCTCCATTCCAAGTGTTGCTGTCAATACGGCTCTTGAATCCCACTGCAATGAAAATTGAAAAAAAGGTAAAAAATTAGATTTCTGATGATGCCTGTGCCCGATATGCGGTTGTACCTACTTAAATTTTGACCATGATAGCAACAGACATCACGTGAAGGTAGAATAAAATTGGGAAAATTTTCAAGAGCAGGGGAAAATGACATGTTGCCAGCTGCCAATTTTCAGGAGCGGCATTCCTCTGGTTCTATGCAGTTTCGTCTCCTCTGCAAGATGACTTTAAAAATATCTGTCCATATATCCATGTATGGATATATATATATATATATATATATATTGATTTTGGATACTTGAACTTACTAGAATTCTGAACATGGGTGATTATGCCAAGGAGACGAAGGATGTCGCCGTTGCGAGCAACATTGCTCAAGGCCCAGTTGATAGCACAACTTGAAACGTCTTTGCTGAGATCCATGACCACAAGCACAACATTCTGTGACCAAGGCTTTTGAGCCCTGTGCATTTCCATTGCGACCTCCGATCCTGCTGCTGCTCGGAACCCCAATCATAAACCACTAGATCCTGATTCTATTTCCCGGCCTTTTTCATCAGCTTCGAGATGTTCGTTGTCGTTACTGAAATAACGAAGGATTATGTTGCAGTCTCTTCCAACGCATGGTCCAACTGAACGTGGAAACAGAGCTAACAATGCAAGGTCGGAAGGACACTCCGGCAGATCACACTTCAGGTTCACATCCAAATAGATGGCAAGAAACATCCGACCTCTTGATGGAATCCTGCATTAACATTACAGTTCCTTAAGTCGTCAAACACTAACTAAATTTCTAACATAGAGAACAAAATCAACAAATGTGGTGTTTAGATAACAGGGGGAAAACAAAACAAAACAAAACAGGAAATGAAAGAAACAAAAAGCCCTATCCTCTGCTGCAAAATTACCAACCATACTTCCTTCTTGAATATTTAAAATGCTCACCAAATTCATAGCCAAGATTCCAAGCAGATAGAGCTTAAACCCTTGCAATCATCCTCGACCATTCCTGCCCCGCCATGCTGCTTCCACGATCAGAGTGCATCTAATCAATTTTTTGTAACATTACAACCAGCATCGTCACGCAATCCCAAGCACAAACTAGCAAACGCCTTCAAAGTGCACTTGCAACGGAAGTTCTTATCATGAACAATGCTGTCCATCTTATCAGAAAAGACCCACATTGTCTCAAACAGGAGGAATGTAATAGCACATCGTAAACCCCCTCCCGGCCCAACATAATCATCACATAACGAATTGAGAAAACAAATTCTACAGACAAGGACTGCATTTCGATCACCATATTACAGTAATTCACTAAAATTACCAAACAAAGTGCAACAAGCCCTGCACTCCTGCACTCCTCATTATGCACTAAATCGACCCAATTATGGCGAATTTCGAACCCTACCGAGTACCTTCATCTGACGGATGCACCGAGCTACCCCGCGTTCACAAAGACACAATATTGAAATCTAACAACCGGCTCCCCCAATCCAACTTCAAAAACGTAGCCTAAAAGAAAATCACACCAGCATTTCGGCAGATAACTGCCCACGCTCGGCGAAGTTAACTTCGAACACCGTAAGCCCTAAAACTCAACCCCATGGGTCTCAGTTCCACACACCGATCGCCGCATAATCACACCGATCGCCGCATAATCACCCCGAACGAATACAAACCACCAATTCTTATTTCCATAGTATTTTTACTAACTGAGATTAAGATAGTACTTCTTCCTCCCGCTTCGGTAGCGCAACCGTGAACCTCCCCGTTCATCGACCTCGACTCCCATTCGCATCCGTGCAACCGCAACAATCGGAGATTCGATTGCAACTCAAGTCCTTTGTTACCCCCCTGTCAGTGTGAAACGTGACATTCCATGTATTGAAAACTTGTGATCGCTCGTGGAACCACACTTTTAAGTGATGCATTGAAGTAATTCAGAGAGTTTGTATCCTTATTCATTGCTGTCACCCATGTAGACATGAGGATAAGAAAGCAACGCATTGAATCTACGACTTACAATTGGATGCCTCAACGTATGCATTAGTGGATCTCATGACTAATATTAACTTTTGGGTGGTCAGCGCAAATTCCTAACCTGGTAGAATATTTATGTTGGATGATTATATCAACAACGACGAAGGGACTGCCTTCGCTCTTCGTCATTCAGTTGGATTTGAGATTCAGGGATGCTCATTGAGTAAATAACACTTTGAGGCCAATTTTGGGGAAATTTCCAATTTTGAAGTCATGCTAGTTATTAAGACCATAGCAAAGCCTTAAATGCAACTTGCATTTCCGAATAATACCATTAACAAAGAAGGTTACATTCTTTCGACATAAAATAACAACAGTCATTCGTCCACAATGTAAGTGCAATCATTCCTTTATCCAAGAACTGTGAAGTTCGTTGTTATTATTCCGCACGTCCGTGTCAATCTTCAAAAGAGCGAACACTCTCTGTGTGCTGGAGGTTTCTCTGTCTGCAACTTGATGCACTGCCCGCTTCAGTAGCCGACCATTACGACCTTTTGACCCATCCATCTCTTCCTTCGTCAAGGAGGATGTGCCAAAAATATCCCTCGAAGCGTCCCGCCCGCCAATTTGCACATGCCTGATGCTCTCCGTTTTCAATCACTCGGCCCTATTAAGGCGCAACCTGAACAGACTGCCTCTGTGCCAAACGCGGAGTCGGAGACTTGGACGACGCCCTCATTTAGGGTGGTGCGGCTTCGACCGCCGCGGCACTTTATATATTGTTTCATGTCTCTCACAACCTCGAATGCGAGCGCTGCCTAATCTTGTTAGGATTGTTCGAATCAGTGCATAGTTTGTAAAGACCAGGGTATCAGCGCGGAATCCAACCCAGTGTTAGGATTAGGACCAATTTGGGTGTCTGGTGACGGTGAGGCGAAGTGCACGATTGCGTCCAGTGCTGCACCATGGGGAAGTGTTGCTGCTTGGTCCTAGTGACCATTGTCGCGGTGTTGGTCCTGGGCCTTGCAATCGGCATTCCTGTGGGGATGAAGAAGGCCAAAGAGAAAGTGAAGAACTGGGACCCTACTGCGGTGAACAGTGCTTGCCAGTCCACACGATACCCGGACACTTGCAATGAAACATTCACAGGGGACTACCCGCGCGACACGAACGGCGTCATGCGACATTCAGTGCAAAGCTCTGAGAAGGGAGTGAACGACACTTTGGGCTTCATGAGTGAATTCGACTCGTCCGACCCGGTAATCTCAGGCGCGGTGGAGGTTTGCAATGAGGTACTAGTCAGCGCCCGGGAGGAGCTCGAAGCGGCCTCCACGGCGCTGGAGACGAAGGATACCTTGGGAGTTGACACTCTGAAGGATATCCAGGCGTGGGTGAGCGCTGCGATGGAGCTCCATACGACTTGTATAGATGCATTTATGGAGGTGAATAATGTAACGGGGTCGGCACTTGCAAAGAAGTCAGCCAAAACGGACGAGCTTCTGAGCAATTCTCTGGCATTCATCAACGCGCTGGCGCAGTATGGGAACGATCTGTTGGCGTGGAGACCCACGGGGATCAGCTTGCCGGAGGGGTTTAACTTCACGTTGCCAAATGTGACACTTCCCAATATCCCTGGCTTCGGCAACCGGAAGTTACTTTCAGTGGAAGAGCTTGAAATGGACGAGGGATTTCCTGGGTGGATGGATGTTGAGACAAGACGACATTTGCTTCAAGCACCACCAAAGTATGATGTTGTGGTGGCGCAGGATGGGTCAGGGAACTTCAGGACCATCCAGGCGGCGGTGGATGCGCACAAGACCAACACCAAGCGTTTGGTGATTTACATCAAGGCGGGGATCTACAATGAGCAGGTCATCGTGCCCAAGAAGGCCAAGTTTCTGACGCTTATTGGAGATGGTGACCGGACTGTTCTTACAGGAGACAGAAACGTTGCGCTGATGAAGGGGATGACCACTTTCAAATCTGCAACTCTCAGTAAGTTAATTGTCAACTCTCGTTCTGAATAGTTCTTCGGGTGGTGGAATTACTTGGAAGCTTGTCACGTGGCTAATACACTGAGTAGGGATCTTGTTGTAAGACCTTGGGATTTCTAGTGTCATCCACAGCCCCTGTGTTAGCTGCTCAGCAAAACAAGCCTCGAGTTGCATAATTGTCTGCTGCATGTGTCCATATCTCAATGAAGGGTTATTAATTTACGGTTGTTGTGGGTGTTTTCCTTTTTTGCCTTTTTTCGCAGTTGTCTCCGGTGCTGGATTTGTCGGGCGGTCGTTCCGAGTGCAAAACACTGCGGGAGCCGAGGGACACCAAGCTGTGGCTTTCCGGGGATCCGCTGATAACATCGCGTTTTACCAGGTGACTTTTGACAGCTTCCAGGATACGCTATACTGCCATTCGTTCCGCCAGTTCTACCGGGACTGCACGGTGTTTGGTACCGTGGACTTCATTTTTGGCAACGCCGCAGCCGCGTTTCAGAACTGCAAAATTATCGCAAAGAAGAGTACGATTCTGGGCCAGCAGAACACCTACACGGCGCAGGGCAGGACTGATCCGAACCAGGCAACAGGGCTCAGCTTTCAGAACTGTGTCATTGACGGGACGTCTGATTTGATGGCTAGTGTGGCGCAGTACAAGTCTTACTTGGGCCGGCCGTGGAAGGCTTATTCAGTGTGTGTGATCATGAAATCAGAGATCAAGGGGCATGTTGATCCTACGGGATGGTTGCCGTGGAACACGACTAACTTTGGCCTTTACACTTCATACTTTGCTGAGTACAAGAACTTTGGACTTGGGTCGGCGATCGACAATAGAGTGCAGTGGTCGCACCAGGTGGGGAATGACAAACAGGCAAATTATTACCAGGCCAACAACTTCATTCAAGCCAGTGAGTGGGTTAGTGGACTCGATGTTCCGCTCACCACGGCATTGTGATCGAAGTGCTTTTGTATTCCTAACCGGATTGTGTATTATTCGATCTCCGCCAAGAAATCTTCCGACTTAGGGGAAAAAAACTTGTGATGTACAATTCTGATCTTCAGCAATTGAACAGTTAGCTATCTCGCTCCTACCTTGTACATTAGATTAGTGGAACGTGTTACTTGGATTTTATGATCCATCTTCGGATCTAGTTTCACGACCAGCAGTTCCAGAATAATCACGTACTTTTGGAATTTTACCAAAGCAAATGTGTACTGAGCACTCGTTCATAAGATAGTTTACTGCACCTCATGGAGTAAGCAAGAGAATCAAACGCATAATTTTGCTTTTCCGGCGAACAAGTACATTGCAGTGGACTGTGTGATGCAAACCTTTGACAGAGATATCCATCTATGAGGTATTACTATCTCTCATTCTTAAAAATTAGCAGAACGATTATGGTACTGGACTTGGGTACATTCTCACCAAATTTCTATCAGATCAGGGCTTCGAGCAGTGCTACTTTTAGTCCACTGCCCATCTGTTGCTTGTGCACAACACAACCCAACAGGCATGACATTTAAGGCTGACTAGTACAGTTGATTCACCTGCACGTGACTAATTCGGATTCTTGACAAGGAAGTCATCCCGCCAGATTCGCTATTGGAACGAAAGCCTTGGCGACCCCAACACGGGCAGAACCCAGGATGGTGAAGCACCCAGAGAACAACGTCGTGGATGTAGCGATATGGATGCTACAATGATGATTGGGGCTGCCATTCAGTTGGCAGATGCGAAGATTCCTCCTCTTGATTCCCGGAAATAGCAATGCAAGTCAAACCTAGAACCTGAAGCCAATGGTATTCCGGATCTCCTCTCTCAGCTAGCATGAAAAAATAACCGAAATAGCGCTCCGAAACACATTGTCATTCAACCACGAGTCCGCAAAATCCAAGAAATGAATGACCAATGAAAGAGAGTGATTTCACCTGATCTTTGTGAGCAGAAAGGCTACACCCAGATTGCACTGCCTTATGGACCGAGCAGTGCAAATTGAACGCGCCTTTGGAGTGATTGAAACGTCCACTGAGAAGTTGAAAATCTGGAAGGTTGCATTTGGAACAGCAATAGCAACGATAAACCCCGTAAAATTCATATCAAGGTTACGATGCTATCCGCAGCGGTGCAGTAACTTCGTTTCTGGATTGTGAGTGTTTGTGCACTGGATTGGATTTTTGTGTGTACTGAAGTTCGTGACTCGTAATACAACCTAACTCATGAAATAATAATAATACCAAGTGGTGGCTCCTATAATAGTTCCTGCAATTTGAAACCAGAGCCTAAAGTTATAACAGCGCCAGTGATCAACGGCAATTGTGTCGAACAAATTTTGGCAGTGAAACAACCTGTCCAAAAAGTCAACGAGGTGGTATGGGTAAACATCGCGCGCGAACCCCTTGCCACACCTACATCCACGGCCGTGTTCTTGTCATGTGCTTCCCAAGAAAAGCATCAGAACATAAATAACACAATTTCTGTTCATCCTGAACATTTGTCAACGCTTACAGCGTGTCAGCTTTGAGCTACATAAAGTACCATAAACATAGGTCAAGAATATTATGAGAAAAATTCCCTGGTGTTTGGCCAGTTTTTGATTGTGGTGACGGCCTTATTCAGACATGAACCGTTGTGTCCTGTGACTAGTCCGAAGAGCGTTGATGCTGAAAAGCGAACTTCGAGCTCCATCAAGCGTAGGTTGGTTTTTGCGTTCAGAGACACCATTCTGTTGAAGTGTGTACGGGTTCGGCAGTTGCTTGTGCATGTCTCCTTTCTTGCATGAACTTTTAGAATCTTTTAATAAATACTCCCAACACCTAGTTCAGCTTTCGAGGCGTTGCTGCTGCCGCCAGTCCAGGTGTCATTAATTTCTTGGAAATTTCAACTGTTCGAAGTGTGGAATTTTCTCAGCCTGGAGAATAACCCTGTTTTGTCAACTGGAAAGGCACGTAGGGGATCAGAAACATCCTAATCCGCTCTTAGGGAGAAATAGTACCGCAAGTAATCTTCCCATTGCTCGAGATGCTCAAGTTTCCCCAGCTCATCTGACCAAATAGTCATGTCATTGGTCAACACCAAACTGAAAGACTTGATTTGGTTAGGGATGTAGAAGCTACATGATGATTTTGAATAGTACTTAGGGCATGATTGCAGACATCAGAACTTAAAGATAATAAGATCTTGAGCGCCACTGCAAGGATTTCAGTGAGCACATACGAACCGTCACTTGTCCCCTTCACAAGTGAAATCGATCCACTTGAACAATCCAGCAGATGAGCTGCGAAGTTCGATAGCAGTTAAATGGGCACTGGCACCACCCAGTGGCAACCTAAAGGCCCCCACTGCCACACGGAAAAGAAACACAAATGGTCCTCTTCTTTCCGGTGACCTCCAGACCTCCCACCAGTCGGAACACCCTCTTAGTGAAAAATACTAAAGTTGTTGGAGCTAAATCTTCTGTAGCAATGAACCTGCAGGAATCCAGCCAGCAGCGCGTCCTCAGCATCGGCAAACTTCTCGAGATTCAGGTGAGTCTCTTTTAAGTGGGACCTCCCACTGTAAACGCCAAGAGAACCCGACTTCAATTATTCTAAACCCCGTACCGACCCTAGGTCACAGACTTGACAAAGTCTTGTGTGAAAACACCAGTAATTTCTCCAATTCTTGTTTATCATAAGTCACCTCTTAGACCGAGCAACGTGGGGGCAGACAGTACACATCCATAGAGACTGTAAATAGAGATTATTTCGATTGGTCCCCACCTCGCGATAGCTACAACGCGGTTGGACTAGTCTAGATTTCCTGGCACGCACATCGTGTGACCCAACGGCATCTTTTGGATCGGAGCGATCGTCGCACTCGATCACCCCCGAAGATTAACGGAAACTTGCTGATCCCGCGAGCCTGGTGTCTTTCTTCCTACTGACGATCTAGCCCTCGCGACGCTCACGACTTCGCCGTCCTCGAAGTCCTCGTCGTCTTCGGTGCACAGTCACTTGCAACGCCGCCACTGGAGCACCAAATTATACTTATGTTGCATATGTTACCCACTTGCCTTACTCACTTGCCTTACTTGATGGCTACTTATTTCATTAATTATGTGGCCTTTCTAGTAGCTAGCATATATACAGATAATATTGAAGCCATTATTTGTCAAAAACATAAATCACAAGAAAACATTGAAGAGACAATATACTTTTGTTTCACTAGAAGAAAGAAAGTAAATTAAAGATAAATTAAAGATAGAAATTAAAAGAACCAAATGTGGAGAATTGAGAGTCTCGAATTAAGATTTGAACATCAGAAAAAAATTGAAAAGAATAAAGAAGACATCATTCTTGCCTCCATATATACTATCTAATTAATAAGGTAGGTAATAATACATCATAACCATGTGACATGTGTCTACCTTATAAGGATTTTTTTTAAAAAAATAATATCTCTATATTGTTATTATTCTAAAAATAGAAAACTTGTTGAATTTGGAGTAAATAAAAATCTTTTGGTGAACTTTGGAGTACAAGGGAATTGATTGCCTTAGTAGTTTAGACCACCAAAATTAAAAAAGCTATTTTTAAATGCCTTAAAATTAAATGATTGTAAAAATTTAAAAATAAAAACACTATGGTTTAGTAAAGAAAATATAAAAATAGTAGTTTTCTTAGATCCTACATAGATTTGCACCAAAAAAAAAAAAAAAAAAAAAATTAAAAGATGCTATAGATTCTTTAAGAAATAATACAATGTAATAATCTAATTGCATGGTCCCAAGGTTGTTTGAACATATTATCTTTTTTTAGAATCATACTTTTTTAAAAAAAAATTCTACATTGAAAGATATTATTAAGTAATATATTATGATTTTGTATGATATAGATAAAGATCTTTTTGTTAGTATTTCTATTGTAAGAAGTTTAAAATATATAATATTAATTTGTATGTCTTTCATGTTTGTTTGTATGTTCTAATTAATATGCTACAAAACTATAAAAGTATTTAGGTGCTAACATATAACTTTTTAATAAAATTGATGAATTTGTTGTATTTGTTTCCAAAATCAATAGCAAATATAATTTTTTTGTTAAGTATCTATCACAGACATACTCATGTAAGCCAGTAATTACATATACAAATAGGTAGAAGTAAGTAAAAGTAAGTAAAAGTAAGTTAATTCTCTAGTATTTGATAAAGAAGCTTCATAGAAGCTTTATAGACGTTGCTTTGACTTCATAGGTGTCTTTAATTGACTTTTTGGATTAGAAATGTGGTCAACAAGTTGGCCATGTACCACACATGTTGTTAGCTTCAAGACCAAGCTAACTATGTGGTCCATACGTAGAAAAACTTACCTTGTAAGTCAAGGCATGTGTCATACAAAGTCAACACATATTGGAGGTCTTATAGAACGTCACCACATAGCCCCTAGTTAGATAGTATATATAGAGACAAGAGTGAAGCCTTCTTCACTCTTGTCAACTCCTTTCTTGCTTTCAGTCTAGTTTCAAGGGTCTCTAGTTTTCTTGTCTTTTGGCAATAGCCATTCCAGTTTCTCTTTCAATATACATACTTGTTTATTTATATTTTTTTACCTTTTTTTGAGTGAAGGCTCACTTGTCTGAATTCCTTTTTCATCGAGTTCTTGTCCTTGACAGATTGACAAGAGTACACCTACAATATCAGAGCTTTGTCTAATCTTGATTAAGAGTGGATTACCCCTTTTTATTGATAAGATATAAGCATATTAGAAATAACGGATTACCCTCTTCTAAACTGATATTGTTCTTAGTATTTTCTTTGATCTCAAGTCCTCTCTTCTATTTGTCTTGAGCGATATTAGACATCTTCTCTTTTCTAAGTGTTATCATGGCAGAACTTGCTAAAATGAAGAGTGTAATGGCACAAATGCAAGAGCAATTGAGGGAGTTAATGCTTGCAATGCATCAACTCAATTTACCACTACAAGGAGCAACAAGATTGGCAGGAAGTGAAGATATAGAAATGGTTGGAGCTGCTTCAACATCTGCACCAAATCATGTCCTTTCTCCTATAGTCGAACGTCCTTCCAGTGTTAGAGAACCAAGAATTGTCCTACCCGAGAAGTTTGATGGTACCAAATCCAAGTTTCGAGGATTTATCAATCAAGTGTAACTTATGATTGAACTTCAAACCCAAAGTTATCCAACTCTAAGATCGCAAGTTAGATTCATTAGTATACTTCTTTCAAATTCAGCACTATTGTTATTTTCATCTCTTCTTGAACAACGAGATCCAATATTGGATAATCTAGAGGCTTTTCTGGTAGAGTTTCGATCCATGTATGGAAAACATGATGTAGTTCATGTTGCAATCAATAAGATCCATATTTTATGACAAACCAATCAATCGATAACTTTGTATGCTTCACAATTTTGATAACTTGCAATTGATATCAAGTGGGATGATGTTGCACTTATTAGCCTATTTTTCTACGGATTACAATATGAGGTAAAAAAATTAATGCTCAACTTACTTGATCCTCAAACATTGAGTCAAGTAATTGACTTTGTTGCGAAGTGCGATAATCGACTTTTTGAATTTCGATCTCAGAACCGTACAAGTGGACTTCAACGTTACTATAATTCAATGGCAACACTAATACCTCTTTAATACATACATTTGGAAGTAGAGGATATGCAAATTGATGTAGTATGTTTCAAACCTCTTACTGAACAAAAAAAGACTCATCGTCGTCAAAAAGGATTAAGTTTATATTGTAGAGAACCAAAACACAATGCTCAACATTGTCCCAAAAAATGACGCAACCACAAAATAAAGAGTATGGCTGTGAAAGAAGAAAATATGTTAGAAAATGACTTTGTCCAGCTACAATAGAGACCGTGCGGCTGGAATCTAGCACAACATCTAATAAAGGTCATATTCTCTCCTCAGAGCCCTCTCCTTGTTTTACATTAAATGTTATTTTAGGACCTAAACATTACAAAGCCTCTGCCTTGTTAGATTCAAGAGCCTTAGTGTGTTTCTTAGATTCAAGAGCCTTAGTGTGTTTCTTAGATAAAGAATTTACTAAAAGATATAGCATATCTTTAGTAAAAAAAACTAAACCTGTTCATATAGAAGTCATAGATGGTCGTCCATTGTCTTCTAAGGATATTTCTCACAAAACCCTTCCTATAGAAGTAATAATCAATGGTCATAATAGCTTTGTAGTATTTAATATCATTAGATCTCCCTCTAATCCAATCATTTTAGGTTTATTGTAGTTAGAAAAATACAACCTTCAAATAGATTGAATTTCTCAAATTCTTACTTTCTCTAAAAGTATAATTAACAGTGTAGTTAATCAAGTAGAGAGTCATAAGTCCAATTCAATTAAATCCATGTTTATAGGTACAAAAGCTTTCTTGCATGCTGTTATGAAAGAATCACCATATATTATTTATGCCACACCCGTTTCTACTAGTGAAAAGACTTCAAGTGGCATTCCAAGCCAATATTAAGAATTTCAAGATGTATTTGAAAAAACGAATGCAGATACACTCCCAAAACATCATCTCTATGATTGCTCAATTGACCTTCAAGAAGGAGCACAACCGCCATTCGGACCAATCTACAGTTTATCACAAAATGAGTTGGCTGAACTCAAGGAGTATATTGAAGAAAATCTAGCCAAGAATTTCATACGCCATTCTAAATCTCCGGTAAGAGCTCCAATTCTATTTGTAAAGAAAAAAGATGGATCATTGCGGATGTAAGTTGATTATCGAGGACTCAATAAGATTACCATCAAGAACAGGTATCCACTACCTTTAATATCTAAACTTCTTGATGAGCTGAATCAAGCTAAGATCTATACAAAAATAGATCTTCGGGGAGGATACAATCTAGTACGCATCAAAGAAGGAGATGAATAGAAGACTACGTTTCGAACTAGGTATGGACATTTTGAATACAACGTCATGCCTTTTGGACTTATAAATGCACCAGGAGCTTTTCAACATCTATTGAATGATATTTTTTGAGAGTTTTTGGACGATTTTGTGGTCTGTTATCTAGACAACATCTTGATCTATTCTAAGAATCCAGAAGAACATGAATTTCATATTCGTCATGTATTACAAAAATTAAGACATGCAGGACTCTATGCCAAGATAAAAAAAAGTGTGTATTTCACACTATTCAAGTGGATTTCTTAGGTTACATCATTTCAAATGATGGACTTATGATGGATCCTAAGAAAGTTCAAACTATTATAGACTGGGAGATCCCAAAAACAGTAAGAGATGTCCAATGTTTTTTGGGATTTGCCAACTACTATCGGATCTTCATCAAAGACTTCTCTCGAGTTGTAGCTCCACTTACACGTTTGACTTGTAAAGACAAACTTCAATGGAATCAAGAAGCGGAAGTTGCTTTTGAATCTTTGAAGACAGCGTTTGTTTCTGCACCAATTTTATATCGTGTTGATTTTTCCAAAGCATTCTTTATGGAAACAAATGCATCAAACTTTGCTCTATGTGCGATTTTGTCACAAATGGAAATAGATGACAAACTTC